TGGTGACAGGGCAATTCTGTGGGATCTGTATGTTGAAAAGTGGGTGTTTACATGAATTACACTTGATAAAACTGTATCACCACATGCACAAGTCATTACAACCACCCATCATCAGGAGACTTCACTGAAGGGCAGGTGATGCACACCATGAGTGCGGCATACCTTCACGTGGGCTTTTCTGTTTTAGTTTAACCACCACAGGGCAGTGGGCCCTCCAGTTTCACTAGGAGAACTTGGGGCCCCTCTGCAGCAGCTGCTTGAGAGCGCTCTGGGCACACTGTCAGCATACTCTGGAGCAAACTCAGAGTGGACAGAGAAGAGCAAAGTGGCTGAATGAGCTCCGCCTGCACGCCCAGGAACCAGGCCAGCTCCACTCCCAAGCAGCCTGCCCAGCCCGTGCAAGGCACCTGCCCTCTGCCCTGGGGAAACTGAGCAAGCATGAAGAAGGCAGACTGGATGCCCAACTGCTAGGCATAAAAATGAAGCCAGGCTCTGACCAAAACAAAAGGATATCTCCAAGTAGCTGGGAGGCCTTTCTCTTCCACTTCTCAATAAAATGAAAGGTTCTCTTTTCCTAGCCATTATTCAAAACAAAAACTTGTCCCAGTTCCGCGTAAGTTTGCAGAAGCAGAACTAAGAGGCTTCTTTACTTCACCCAACAAGAACTGCAGCCTGATGCAGTGATCTCTCCCAGGAAACATGGCTTCTGAGGACAAAATTCAATGCACATCCATTGAATCAATTCCAGAAGCAATTCCACTGAATTCAAGCTCTGGCAGAGAGCTGGATGTCGTCACCTGGTTGCCTCAAATGACCTCTAACTGCAAAGTAGTTATCAATTAAGTCAGGAATTAATTTGGGGAATACAGTTGAAGGCATATGAATAAATGAAAAGAGTTACGCTTTTACTATTCTAGTATTTTTTGTTTGAAAATAAAAATATTCAATCAGTAAGTCTACCATTCAGTCTCCGAAGCACAAGCTAGAAAGGAAAAAGGCAGGAATGCTTTGTGTTGAGCATCCCAGTCTGCGCAGTGGGCTGTGAGGTAGGAAGGGCAAAGGGAGACGTGGGCCTCAAGGAATCCAAAGCCTAGCAAGTGAAAGAAACCAAAACCTATGATGCAGGTACACAGGAGTGCAGACATGCTCCACAAGTCTGGCCACTCATCCTGGTGCCATCTCTTCAGACATTTTGGAATGAATGAGTAAAACAGTGAGTGACTAAATACACAATCAAAACACGCATTCTAAAGGAAAGGAAGTCGGTAACAAGGGGCAAACATGGAAGAGCTAGAATTGATGGGAAGAAACACTGAAAAGCAACACTGAAGAGAATGGTAAGACTGAGAGGCCAGAACAAAACATAGAGGCCCAAAAAGCAAGAAACCCTAAAACACTAGGCAGAGAAAAAAAGTGGGAGGGAGGAAGTACCAGCTTTGAAGCCTTCTGAAAGGAGGTAAAGCACCTTATTCCTCTTTCAGAGGAAGAAGGTCCTGTACATAATGTGTCTGAATCTGGATTTGAGGGGGAAGCTGAGGCTGAAGTCACTATCAACCGCCTGCTACACCTAACACCAAGCTTCGAAATATTTTCCTCTATGTGGAAACAGTCTTTCCTGGATTCCCAGCAACAACTATCCTCTCTGCTGTCTACAAGGCAAGATGGTCAGGGCCAGAGGTCTCAGTCTACTATCAGGCTACGTGGAAACAGTCTTTCCTGGATTCCCAGCAACAACTACCCTCTCTGCTGTCTACAAGGCAAGATGGTCAGGACCAGAGGTCTCAGTCTACTATCAGGCTACCCCTGTTCCTCCCGCCCATTCTCTGGTGGGTTTCTGGTGGGTTAGCCCTCAGTGACAATGCCTGCGCCGAAGCTGGTGACACCATGCTCCAAATCAGCAAGAAACAGAATCACCATGGAACATTATAGCTAGGAAGGGTAACTTCTATTCACAGAGCTTTGCACAGGTAACAAAAACCTTCATAGGCTTGCCTAAATAAGAGCTTGCTTCTAGTTCCTGTATGTAATATTTTTCGTTTTTATTTTTTCATTAGTATTTGCTTGTAGTATATAAACTAATTCCTCAGTACATGTAATTTTAAATGTACCACCTGCTTGAGAATGGATTCAGATAATATATCTTTTAGCAACTGTGTGGTAATTTGATATGCTTATTTATTTATTTATTTATTTATTTTTTGTATTTAGTACAGGGTCTATAGGATCTCACTATGCAGATCAAACTCAAATTGATTCTCCTACTTTCAGCCTCCCAAGCCCTGGGATTACAGGTGCACACCACCACACCCAGTCTCAACTGCCCACTCAGCATGCCCCAGGGGTGGGGCCAGCATGGATCGAACCCTGGCCACTGTGCTCTGCCTAAGCAGGCGCTTTAGTCCCCTAAGCTATCTAGCTGGCCCTTGTAATTTGATAGACTAATAAAGTTAGTAACTTTGGGCAAACTTCTATCAAGGTAGCATGATTTCTTCTTCTTGGTCATTGTCTCACTTTTAATTTCATTTTAAACTAATTGTTCTAACCTTCTTTGAGTTTTCAGCTAATAATCCATTTCAATACACAACACCTAAAGGAATCATTCTTACACCTATCAGGTATTCTTGAAGTTTTAGGGCTTTTGTGTAGCAGGGAGGAAGGCCACTGAGACAATTCTGGGACTAGTCAAGAAAAGACAAATCCCCCAAGCAAATGGCTGGAACAGCAAGGAAGCAGGAAGGAGCTGAGCTGCCAAAGTCCACGGGAGAGCAGGCATGTGGCTGTCCCCCACCTGCGTGGACACACATCCTGCTACCCCTGCCCGGCGGGCCACCGTCCACCCTGGCCCGGCCCTTGAGGGGCACCCACGAGGAGGCAGACGGAGGCTTGCAGTGTCTGCAAAGGCGGGCACAGACACACTCCCCGTCCGCTAGCTGTGAGCAGCAGCACGTAGCCTTCCACACACATTTAAGGGCCGCTGGTCGGCAGATTCGCACATACAGCAGTCCCTGGAAGGGATATCAGCAGTGAGATGACAGGCTGTGGCCTGCCACCTGCAATTCTTTTATTATACGGGTTTTCCTTCAGAATGTTGGTGCTACTGCTGTCACAAAACACAAGGAACCGGAACTGTGTCTCTGAGAACAACTTCCACAAAATGATCTCCCAGCCGCCCTTCAGTGTCAACTCTGTGAAAACCACGACATGGCTGATGAAAAGCCCTAAATCACAGAGAGCACCTTATGGAAGGACATCCTATCTGTACCCTGGAATGCTGAGCTGTGGAAGCAGTGCCAGACACATGGCACAGAGCATCCTGGGCTGCAGGTCAGAGGTTTTCGTCCGCCTGGCTTGCTGCCAACTCCTTCTGCATGTGGCTACCAGGCTGCCTGTTGTCCCTCCTGCCTCCCCACAGCATCTGTGCTGTCCAGGGCAACAGGGCCTCCTGTGGTGCAAAGGAGGAACTACAAGACTGACCCTGTGCCTGGAAGTCTTGCCTTCAGGTGGTCCAGGCCCTTCAGGGCCCCGTGCTGCTCTGTCTCTGTTAGCAGTAAGCAGACCACCTGGAACCTCTTTCCTCTACCTAAGCTAGGGTGTGCAAATGCGTACCACAAGAGACGTGAGCATACTACACTACTTGGAAACAGCAAAACAGCAAACCCGAGGCAACATGATGAGCACTGTAACAGGCCTAGGCAGAGAGTCTGGATGGCATTAGAAGAACCACAACTTGTCTAGGGCAGAGGACGCAGCAAGTCCTGGCCTCAAAGTTGCCTGACTGTCACAGATGGAGGTGGAGGTGGGGGCTGGAAGAGAAGAGCGAGCACAAGAGCAGCTAGAAGGAGAAGCGTGATCACATCATGAGGCTGAGGAAGCACTGGAGGGTGTTCTCCTGGCAGAAGAGCAGTCATTAATGGTGCAGGAATGGGAGAGAGCCTCTGCAGCACTGTGCCTCAGAAACCCACGCTGAAGCGCAGCGCTGCGGGGCGGCAGGGCGAGCGGGGGTGACAACACCACGACCAAAGCTGGGTGAGGAATTCACCAGTGACCCCCACACACAAACTAGAAACTATCCAGGAAGAATGCACACTTACTATGTATCCTTGGAAAAAGCAGTCTCTTAGTAAGTATCTGAGCTCCTTTCTAGTTATAGCACTAGTAGGAGTAGAGAAAGTATGAAGTGTGCTGCTTTTCTGATCCCTAATTCCCTGAAGTGCCCTTTATAAATTTCCAACTTACAAAGAGCTAATCATGATCATTATACTTCGTGGAGGTCCTTTTGTGAAGCAGAGAATGTTTTTCAAAAGAGAAAAGATACAGTAAACTGACAATCTCAATGTGTAACCACCCTGAAAAAGCTAAGTTTTATTATAGTTTTGTGTCAAAAGCTACATAGTAGTTTCTTTAATGTAACTTTACGATTCTATCAAGAATAGTATATGCAAGTATAGACACACATACATGTAGGGATGATTGGGACCTACTTATTTTTCAGGATTCAAACCACATATCTTCATACAGTACAAAATTACTAATAAGTACACTAACGAGAGTGCCATGGCACACTGAAGGTCAAGATGATGCAATATTTGGCTTTTTTCACATTCAGAGTGGCCTGATAAAACCAGAAGGCAATCACGACTTCCGCCACTTGAAGGCCACACACAGCAAAACACCTGCAGGTCTGTTCACAACATGCAGCCCTGTTTTTGCTACACCGACATGGGCTCTCTGAAGCTGAAGGGGCCGCCTTCTGATCCTATTCTCTCTGTTGCCCTTCTCCCCTGCCACTCCCCCGCTCACAGCACTCTCAGCAAAGGCACATGTGCACTCATGTGACGAAGCAGGCCAGCACCACGCGCAGCCCCCTCCCTCCCTACGCGACGCCCTTGGTAGGCCACACCTCACAACTTGCTGCCTTTTGGGCACTGTCACATTTTGACCAAATTCAAATTCTAACATGTTTAAAGATGTGGATTGTACTTTTTCTCCTGATGTCTTACCTCTTTCACGTGGGTGTGAAAGGACACCGACATGTCCAGTAGGATCTTTCGCTGCTCAACACGCCGAACAAAATCTTGTATCCGGTCTTCGAGCTGATGGGCAGCCTGATAAATCTCTTCCGGGTCACATTCTCCAGTCTGAGCCAGCTGCTCTGCTGCTTCTAGCAATTTATCTGCATTGGTGTATGTATTCTGTACAAGAGAATGCCCAGAGAAACAGAATGAAGAAAAGGCAACTAGCCACTCTGGGAATCATAACAAATAACCAGTCAGTCAGTTAATGACACTTCTGGGTATATACCTGTATCAAATAGACAAATACAATGCAGAGCAGTGACTCTAGGAGTTTTATACATTTCTCTCAGCAACCTCTTCCAATATCATTTTAGACTGTTACGGCAAAGCCCTTGCATCTAAACACAGTCGGACTATCTGCAGGCAGCTGCTGGCTATCTCGTGACTCAGAAAGTGGGGGCCTTCAGAGTTGTTAAGGTGGGGCCAGGAAACAGCCATAGCCACAAGGGCTCGCTTCACTTTTCCCTCAAGTGTGTGGCAGAGTGAATTCCAGTTCTGTGTCTTTTGGTGCACTAGTTTATGCCAATTCCCAAGTCCAAGTTTAAGGTTACGTTCTAAACAAGAATACACTGATGTGCCTTTTCAAACTGTTCTACTTACTGGTAAATCTGTGCTTATCTTCTTTTTACTTTTTTTTTTTTTTACACATTTTTTAGAAAAAGGAAATGATGGTTATAAAACAGCTGGACTTTTTAAAGAGCTGAAAGCGAAGTGTAAATACATACAAGAAATAGCGTGAAGATTATTCTGACTCTTTATAAGTCCGAGGCTGCTCAGAGGCTCCTCAGAGCCTCAAGGCTGTTCCTGAAAACTATGCAAGGACCAAGAGACCAACTGGCAGATGTCAGCACAGTAACAGAGCAGCACTAAGGCTCCAGGAAAACCAAGAAAAGTGGCCTGCAGTTCTCCATGAAAACCAGCTGAGTCCTTCACCCTTCTCCCAGCAACTAAGGTCTAAAGCTGAGCAGAGCAGGAGAGTCATCAGAGGGCGCGAGGTGCCCAAGGTGAGAGTCTGAGGAGGGTAAGGAGGCGCCCCTGCAGCAGGACAGGACTGGCCCCGGGAACGATGCTCTGTGCAGGGCCAGGAGGGGAGCTGTTGCCAGCACTACAGTACCATGTGGGTTCCTAGTGCTAGAGACCCAAGGTCTGGCTGTCGCAACTAGTGACAGCCTTCCTCCGTGGGGCAACGTAGGGCGTCACGCGGCAGGTGAGACAAGGAGAGTAAAGGTGCAGCTCATTCTTATAAAGCCACGGGAGTCCATCACGAGTGCGCCACACTAACCACCATTGCTAGGACCTAAGTCCTCATGCACTTTTGAGTGGACACTAGAACCACATCCACACCACATCATTCAGCTGCTGGTCCCTGAGGCTGATGGCCTTTTCACAAAGCAAAACAGAATCATGCAATGCCCAATAGTTCCAATGCCTCAACTCATTTTTGACATTAATTCAAATCTATGGATTAGCTCGTTAATCCAAAGTCTCATTTTAGACTCAAGGCAAACTGCTGATGTGTGCCCAAAATACGAATAAAAATAAAAATTTTAACAAAATGGTTGTCTACTTCTCTAAGAAATAATGGTAGAGAGGCACAGGATACACACTTCCATTCCAAAAGAGACAGACAAACAAAGAGAAAGGAGTGAATACCCAAACTACTGTCACCTGGAAGCCACAGTGCGTCCAGTAGCTCTCAAGCTGCAGGCCACGTCTCCCCACGCGTGCTGCTGTGAGCGTAGGCAGCCCAGCCCGCACAGCCATTCTGCCACTCCATGATGCACACCGACCCTGCGGCTTTCCTGGGCAGGCACGGCAGTGTGCTGCTAAGTGCCCTGCCTCCTGGAGTCCTTGGTGTAGCTCCAACTGCACAGCCCACAAGCTGCCACCCAGGGGCCACTCTCTTCAGGGCTGACTCTGACACACTTGCAGGGAGAGAGGACTGTAGGCTTCTCCATGTCTGCCAGCAGCCTTGTCCAACACTGTTTTAGGCTGCTGAACTTTGCCTCTTACGGCACAGCCCTTGCTTCTGAAGCCAAGGCAGGGTATCTGTGGGCAGCTGCTGGCTGGCTCACAACTCCGAAGGTGAGACCTACTTCTGAAATCCACGCAAGTCCCCCGACCCTGTAACTCTTGCATTTGTGGTGCCTGCAAAATCAACTCACGTGGCTGCCAAGGCCTGCGCTGGCAGGAGCTATACATGGGCCTGTGTGAATCGTGGCTCAGTGGCTGCAGAGCACTTCTGGAGAAAGCTAGAACCCCAAGGTAGCCAAGGGCTCAGGCAGTGAAGCCATTACCCCGAGGCTGCAGGAGACAGCTGTGCCCCAGATAATCTGGGTCTGTGAGGCGAGGTGTGGGCACTTCTGAGATGCCCCAGGGCCTTTTCCTCACTGTCTGAGGATTAAAATTTCTGCTCATTCCCCTAGGACGTGGTTGCACAGCCTTACTGGTCCTGCACTGTTCATCTTCTGTCTTCTGTAGCTACCTAGATCATGGGCACTATGTGTCTGCGGGTTCCCGGAACGCGGCAGAAATTACTACTCAGCGGGCAGGGTGGGGAAGGTGCTGCGGAGTGGTGGCGGGTGTCTCAAGGGGATGGAAGAGGGTCTCACCCACGCTGCGCATGGGCTGGGACTGCTTGGTCCCGCCGGCGCAGGGTAGCCGGAAGCTCTCCCACACACTCACTGGGCCTGGGCTAGAACTGGATCTCATGGGCACTATATAGCCAAGTTCTTTACTCAGTATAACAAAGGTGGTATTTTGTCCAATTTCTAATAGAATCTTCACTGTCATTGAAGACTGGTTCACCTGTCTTCTGAGTCCATGCACAGCATCTAGGCTTCTTCTAACCTCTCCCTCCAAACTCTCTTAGCCTCTGCCTATAACTCAATTCCAACACCACTTTCACATTCTTAAGTGTTGTTGCTGGGCTACTATTCAGGATCGATTTCTCTGTCTTACGCTGTTTTTCATTACTGTAACAACAATACCCAAGTCAGGTTAACTCTGTAAGGTTTATTTAGTTCAGTTTTGGAGACTGTAAGTCTAGCTCAGGTGGTATGATTGTGGGCCCACATGGGGAAGGAAATCACACCTTAAAACAGTAAGCTAAGGGTCGGCCAAATAGCTTAGTGGATTAAAGCACCTGCAAGCAGGTTCAGGGGCTGGGGGTTCGATACCTGGGCCTGTTGTGCTGGCCCCACCCCCGGGATGTGCGCACCTGTAATCCCAACACTTGGCAGGCTGTCAACAGGGGAATCACTGCAAGTCTGATCTGGTAGAGAGACCCTAAACACCCTGTACACCCTTCCCTAAAATACAGATTAAAAACAAAAACAAAACAAAACCAACAAAAAACAGTAAGCCTCAGAAAACCTGGGTTCCCGGATTCCCGTTAAGAGTCTGCCCCTCACTGATTTAGGACCCTCCCAGTAGGCTGCACTTGTTAAAGGTCCCACCTCCAACATCCTCACACTAAGCACCAACACGCCAGCACATGAATGTTTCACAGACAAACCACCTCCAAGCATAGCAGCATCCTTCTGGGGAAGCAATGGCTTCCAAGTTGGGAGGCTGGTTTCATCCAGGGGGACTAATAAACTAAATCAATATGTTAGAGGTAATCAGTGATGTTTTTTAATTTAGAGATGGGATTATAAATATAAAGAAAAGATGAGTTAACCCTTTTCTGGCAAGTGGGGTAGAACTGGAGGTCTCCATAAGAATATAGAATTTTCTAACACAGATGTGCACATGCATGAGTGTGCCACACACATTGATTTTCTTTCTTCCTCCCAGCAAGAGCCCAATAGCAGCACACAAGCTCAGCACCAGATCTGTGCTTCTAAGCACCATTCTCCTCTGTGGGGAACCAGGACTTCTTATAGAAGCAATTGACTGTGGGGCTGCACTAGATAAAGTAAACACAAGTCTAAATCATCTGACTGAACCCAAAAATAAAAGTGTTCAAAGCCAAGGGAGGCCAAATCAGGGTACTGAAGCCAGCTAAGGAGGTTCCTGTTGACCAGCTCAGTGAATGCACTATGGGAGCATCAATATCAACAATGATGTCACAGAGTCACACCTGCTGAATACCATGTGGACACCACAGGCCCAAGACAATACAAAAAAACAACACTGGGAAAGAAACAGAATACAGTGGTACCTTGGTTCATGAACTTAATTCATTTCACAATTCTGGTTGAAAACTGATTAGCGAACAGAATCGAGGCATTACATTGAGCCTGATGGGAAAATTTGATTCTGTCCATGACCAGAACAATGACAAGACTTAAGTTTGTGAACTGAGGTACCGCTGTATTCACAGAACTGAGAAGCCCCTCCCCACAATGTACTTACTAATTTCACATGGGCAAAGAATAGCTTTCAGGATGAGAAGCCTTGCAGATGCGACCTTAGCTGGGCACAAAGAGAACACCCTGTGCAAGAGGACAGATTACAGTCGTGTGCCAGCTGATGAGCTACTATGTGAAGGAAGCACCACTGCTGTGGTGCTCCACCCAAGTATCGCCGAGTCCAAGAATGACAAAGCAAACACCAAACCTTACACAAGGAACATTCTCCAAATCATGGGCTGAAACTGAAAACATCAAGATAAAAACCCAGGAACTACTGTAGCTCAAGGACCCTAAGAGGCATGACAATGATATGCACAGGAGATGCTGAACTGGGTCCTTCTGCTTTACAGGACGTAAGGTGAATTGATGCCAGTTTTCCAATTCTGGTAGCAGTGTTAAGGTGGCATAGGAAAATGTCTGTTCTTGGTAGGGAAAGCACTGAGGCAAATGGTTCAGGAGTTTTCTTTGTGTTAAACTTTCAGATTTACCGCAAGTTTAGAAAAAGTTTCTGGTATAGTGCTGATACGGAGTCACAGCTGCAGAGTGGCTCCAGGTGGAGCGGGTGAGAGCAGTCCACCAGGACGCAGCTGAGAAGTGCAGTCTACAGAGCACCAACAGCCATCTGCTCTTTACCTCCCATCGCTGAGCCACCCCCGCCCCAGCGTGCCACGCACTGGGTCCCCGCACCACAGGCCATTTTACAGGGGAAGAAACGAGGCCTGAAAAAGATCAAGAGTCCTCCGAGGACAAAGCTGGAGG